CTGTCAGTGGAATGAAACGAGGTTCTTCAGTGTCATCTTAATGCAAATGTGATTCACACTTTTTCGCTTCATTTTTGTAAAGCCTTTTTCTTTCCGCTTTCAATGTGGAGAAGTTTCAGAGGAGGTGTTAACAGAGTTTTGCTTCCAGAGGAGTAATCATATGTATGTTACATATGATTCATATGTAATCATATGAACTGCTTCCAGTAAATTTGAGCATTTCTGTGTTAAGATCTTACATAGACATAACTGGAACCCAGTTGGTCTCTGTTTCAGGGGAAACCATCCAAAGGGGAGGCAGGTTTTCAATGCACATGATTCAGCCCGCTTAAAGAAGAAGGAGGCTGCAGGTTGATATTGTTTTGACAAGCGGATTACAGTAGTAATAACAGACTGCTGCTGGTAATGCAGACTGTAAGCACGCACACTTCTCCATGCATGGTGCTCTGCATCTTCTGAACTTCAGCAGCATAGGCCTCATCTCTTTCTTCCTCCTCCTCGTCCTCCTCCTCACATTTCCTTCAGTTCTATCAGCCTCACCCCTCCTCATGGTTTCTTCCCCGCTGACATTCAGAGAGCAAGCTGTTAGTTAAGTTGGGTGACTTATTTTGCTTAAACAGTAACCTGCAGGAGGAAAAAAATTCAGAAGTACTTTGGGCTGTTACAGCGCCAGGAGAGTATGTGATGTTAAGAGTCGGCTCACAGGTTAGCTTGGGTCCTCAGCATGGTGCTGTCTGAGTAAAGCTCTCTCTGTCTCCTTCCTGTGGCTGCCAGGGCAAACTCACCATCCCAGGCTGCTGGTAGCAACAAGCAGTCTGCTAACAAAACATTTTACATTTTCTGTTGTATTTATTTTATATCCTAGTTGCAATGAAAGTATATGGATGGTGTATCATTAAATCTGGTTAATGTAACTTTTATAGAAAATGTTTTTCTACGTCAGAGGGAGTCCTCACACGCCATATCAAACACTGTGCAGTATTTTGGGTTGGCAGCTGGATTTGGATTTTAGCTAACTTCAAGTTGTTTCAGATGAATAATTTACTAAATTGTGGAATGAGCTGTTATTGCTGTTGAGAAATGTGGACATGAAGTTATAATTCCTTTCTTTTCCCCCTTACCCTCTGTGGTTGAGGTGATGGGGGTAAAGTCCCCACACTTCGCTCTACACACACATCCTCGAAGCAGAGATACTGAAACTATCAGAGAGAACTTTGGACTTTACAAGTGCAGAAGGAAGACTTTCTGAAGATGTTTTGTTTCCAGTAAGTTATGAGGAAAACTACAGCAGCAGCAGAACACTTCTGCTTGGAGCTTGCTAGCAGCTACTCTAGCTAATCTTTAACTGCTTAGCTGTGATTGCTAGCATTGCAACAGAGGCTCTGAAAACAATAACATGATGGTCTACGGATCTATTTATAGCAGAAATACAGCAAACCTTTTATAATAACATCCTTATCCAGATATAAAGCGCTCTTTATATCTAATTCAAACCGCTTACAATATCATCTTCTCTAACAGCACAGTGAATGCAGTGTGCGTTGTGTGTTCGGGCTGCAGACTGTAATTTATTCATGCCACATATTTAATACAGAAAACTTTCTAAATATGATAAAATGATGAAAATCTCTGCAAATACTACTGCCACCACCGGTGATTGTAACACTGATAACGTTTTCACACAATACCTATACTAATCACTTTTGGCTTTACATGCATGTTGTTTTTATTTTCAAATTACAATTAGAGCTCCGACTAAGGGTTATTTTTGCTATCAATTAATCTATCATTCTGACAATTAATTGAATAAAGAATTGGCACATTATGCACATTTTTCATTAAAGCCTTTCGTATGCAGTTTTAGTAATACATTGGAACATGCAAGTAAAACTATTTCAACTGAAAATACATAAAGTAATAAATGTAAAAATAAACATTTAATTGCCTAAAGTTAAATTGCAGCATCCCTTTAGTGAATGTATGATTTGTAACAAAGCATCTACAGCTAACAAAATACTTCTAACATCCACATGTGAAAAGCTCAGTTCTTTCTGCTTGACTTAACATCAATACAGGACAGTAGGTCTGATGAACACTGACTAGTGTTTAATAAAAGGAATATTTTCCATGAGTAATTTCTGTATTTACTGCTTAGACAAATACAGAATTTTAGCATTGTGGAATGCTAAAATTTAATTTAGCATTGTAACCAGCGAGACTTGGTGTCATCGAAGGACTTTGAAAACACCTGGCTCTGCTATTGTGAACAGCTTTACATTATTTCTTTGCGAATGGCCTTATGAAGCAATTCTTTTGCTGGAGAAATGATTCATTTGGACGTTAGCAAGCTGTGTTTATGGGGTTTCAACTTGAAGAAACCAGATAATGAAACCTATGAGTTTTCTGAACTTCTGGGTCAAGTCCTGTTCCTCGAGGCGTCGTAGGATCATCTAAAGTTTTATTCAGCACCAATTCGTCATCGAGTTTGCTCTTCCGAGAGTTAGGGAAGCAATATTCCGATCCAGTGTTGCTCAACATTTGCTTCTCCGCTAAAAGACAGATGTGAGGATCTTGTGTTGCTGGTTTCCACATGGTATAACATTCCATGTGGTACCATGGAACTTTTTGTCAGTGGTTGGTTTTTATCTCATTTTTCCTCCTACTTCACCGTGGCTGGTTTTATTCCTGCCAGACTTCCCCCCACGGCTGTTGTTGAAGAATGCAGGCATGTTTTTGGGTCCCATTATGTTTCAACTGAATTGTTACCAGTTTTTCAAACTTCAAACTATGTTGCTAAAGCTTTCCTGGTGGACTGTGGATGATTCACCCATAAAAAGTGGTTTTTGGAGAAAATATGCACCAGAATGAAGCCTTAGGAAGTTAAATTGCTGCATGTGAAATGTGTCATCCACACAGAGAGACAAAGAAAGTCACTTGAAATGCACAGAGTTTCCAGAAGGAAGTCAGAGTGTGAGTCAGAGATCAGACCGCAAGCTAAGATGAGGTCAAAGTGAGGCAAAGGAGAGAAACTGGAAAAAAGAGAAACTCAAGGAGAGGTTGTAGGCAAAAGAAAGATGCAAGACAACTGATGAAGATCGTGGAGTGAGGAAGATGATAGAGGGTTAGGAACCGTTGGACGGAAAGTGGATGAAGGGCAAGTGAGGCAAATCACAAACCAGTGGAAAATAACAAGATGCAAACTTGACTGGTGGGCAGTTCTACCCTGATCTGGAAGGTCATCCCAGATGTGTGTGTTTGCTGTTTGACACAAACACACGCACACACACGCACACACCCACACGCACGCACACACACGCACACACAGTCATTCAACATTCGGACAAAAGAACCACTGTATGGTGGGACAGTCACTACAGATTCAGATCTCTGGGTTGGATCTCTCCCCTGTGAAGTCTTTCTGAGTACGCACACATACACACAAACACAATTTGTATTAGAGCTGAAACAATTAATCGGATACATTGTGATGAATTGATTACTGAACTAATAGTCAACTAATTTAGTAATTAGATGAAAGAAAGTCAAAGCAGTAATTAAGACAAAATGGTACAGAAAATATACATTTTGCATTTGTAATAATAATAATAATACCCTTTGGTTGTAAATCTGTTCCACTCTGAACCCCTCAAGTGGCAGTTTTGTTTCACTTGGTTCATATTCTGTTAAATAAATAAAAATCTCCTACTAAACACCTTTTGCTATTTAATTAATAATTGCTTTATCCAGAAAATAATCAGCAGATCAGCTATACTCTGAATTGATAACAAGTCAAGCAGAAATGTCTTTTCACATGTTGATGTTAGAAATATCTTTTACTCCTAATAATCAAGTGTTCACTTGTGGAATGCTGTTACTGCATTTGAGATGATGAAATGTTTATTTCATTATTTAAATAAATGAATCAAATTACTTGCATTTTGTATTCTATTTTTAATATTGTGTAAAAAAAAGCTTAAGTGGTTAAATTAATTGACGATTTGATTAATCGATATACCATCAGAATAATCAATGGAATATTCAGTTACTAATTTAATCATCAGTCGCAGTCCCTGTTTGTATTTCTACCCATATTAGGTCTTGTATTTATTTTAGAAACTGACGTTATGCTTAACTTATGCTAACCATTCCCTGTATATTCCTAACCCTGGCCTCAAAAATCATTTTGCACCATGCCTATAATCTAACTCTAAAATAGGCAGTTCATTTCACGAAGACTGGGCTTTGGGCACCATGTGGCCCCATGAGGCCCCTCTGTCTCCAGAAGGTTACAGAATATACCAGAAAAGGTCCAAAATAGGTAACATGCATGACTACACACACACATACACACTATTACTGAGTCTTCCCCTGAGTTTGACCTGTGCTACCCCCTGCTGGTAAACGAACGCTACAGCATGTTTCCAGAGTAGGATTCAAAGTAAAAATGGTAGTATATAGTGTGTTGCATATGTGAAATCAAACTATAGACATACAACACTGACTTATTTTTATGGTGAAAAGCTTCTTTTTTTTTAAATGTCTATATCTGTGAATTGAAATTCCCCAAAGTTCAGCTGTTGTTCTGAACCTGACTGGAAGAAGATGATTGTTGCAATAAGATCCAGCCCCATTTTTCTCAACAAGTTGACTCATTTAGCACTAATTTCAAGAAAATTTGTGCACTGTAGAGCTTTCATTTAGCAGCAGTTAAGAGTTGTAGAGATTCTTGTTAAGTGTTTTCTGTACACCCAAAGTGGGAAAAGAACAGGCAAGGGGGCATGCATCAGTTTCCTTGGGAAACAAAAGTTATCAGAATAACTTGATACAAACTGTACCGTCAGAATGTACCATGTGTCCGTATTACCCAAAAAAAAATTTCTCTTAAGCTTGTCCTGTAAATGTCACACTTGGACTGAAAGAACAGTGTTCCATCAGCAACTCAAAGATCATCACCAAATGTTTAGTTCTAATCTCTTCCCTCTCTCTGTGTCTTTGTGCAGCTGAACTGGAGTTTGTTCAGATTGTCATCATCATTGTGGTGATGACAGTGATGGTGGTGGTGATCATCTGCCTGCTCAACCACTACAAGCTCTCCACCTGGTCCTTCATAACACGGCAGAGCCAGGCCCGCAGGCATGACCACGCCCTGCAGCAGGTCAGGACTGCTGCTTCTCGCTCTACAGCTAACCTGCTGGTCTTTACTGACACCATTCAGTTCACATCAGTTAGGTTTATTTCAAAAGCACTGATTCATAACATACATCTTCTCAAGATAACCATCCAGTTAATATACTGTTGTACATAATAGAATATTCTATAGTCTTTTAAATCACATTTTTGAAAAGAATCCATCTGCATCCTCTGCATCTAGTGAAAGTGTAAACAGGAAGCTATCTGAGTCGCTGGTCCCACAGCTTAAACTGAAATGGGTAAAAACAGAGAGAGAACATAAAGTTAGTTACAGCAGTAATGGAAAGTAGTAGGAGAAAATTGCAGAGGAAAATGTGGTCAGTATGCCCTCCAACAACCTAAAGGGCAATGCACATTAGTGACATCGGACACCTGTCAAAAGTCAAACTCCTAATGCCGTTGCTGTATGTCCACCAATCATTTTTCAACCTGTTCTGTGGAGAAACTCAACTGCATTCTGGGACTTTGGAAGTTCTTCTTCTGTGCTTATTTTGTAGTGTTGTTTCTTCTTCTCACAAGATTGGCTATTCTAATGACAAATCGTGGTCATTTAGAAGAAAAGCTTAGTTAATTGCTTAGTTAATATCTGAAAGATTGACATATTTTATGGTTTCATAAATTCTTTTCAGTAATTTATTAGTTTCTTCTGGTAGACTGTAGCACCATCTCACTTAATTAAGACAACTGCATTTGGCTAGAATCCATATAAATAGCCATCTGTTGTGTTTTGGTGCCCTTCAGGGTGTCTCTTCCAATGTGTGTTTAAGGTATAATTTGTGCGTCACACCATTTCCAATGATATTTAGTCTGCCTCAAGGCCAAAAACATGGACCTTGTTCTTTAGGAGAACTGAAGGATCTTCCTCCCATTCTACTTTTAGAAGCTCTGGGAAGCAACAGGAAACCTGCCTGGTGAGAGAAAATGGCTCTGTTGGAAGAATGATGTTTTATTATTAATGGGTTTATATTCATGTAGAGTTTTACATTCTATTCCAGAATTAATTATCACTCTTTGTTTTGGATAAGGTGGACTTTCTGATATTAAAAAATATATATAATTTAAGCCTTAAAGAAGCAAATGCATTGACTAGTTTTTGTACATCATTTTTGAATAGAAAATTAAAAATTTTGGCAGTATTGTGAAGGTGAAGGAAGAAAATCCTAAAAACTTGATTTAAATAACAAGAACCAGTCAAGATGACACCAAAGTCATTAAGATTATGGACGACAACTCCATGCCAACCAGAGAGAGCAAAGAAAAAAAATCCCTGTTTTGTCACAATTCAAAAGCAAAAAAAAAAAAAAAAAGTAATCCAATTTTTGATATCAAAACCAATTTGGGAGGTTGGGAGGTTTGGGAGAATGAGCTTAAGTGAAAGTGTAACAGCATTCACTTGAGGTCGTATTTATTTCATTCCAATGCTGAATTTGTAAAGTGATTCCTCATTCTGAGGACTATATCCCCATAGCTGCTGTAGATTTGGCAGAGCAGAGTTTAATCAGAGTTTAGTCTGTCTAGTTAATGCTGCCGTCGTTTTGATCCGAACTGATGGTGAGTGAGGCCCTTTTGTCTGACTGTCTGCTCATCTGTTCTCACTGAGTGTTCCCATGCAGTCATTGTGTTAGTACATTTCTGTATTTGTGAAACAGGACAAACATAGCCTTAGCAGTATGTTCCCAGTAAAGTACAGTGCAGCTAAATGAATCTTTTTATCCCACTTAAAGCTTTTGTCCCAGTTTTACACTGGTAGCAGCTTTGCTTCAGTCTGTTAAGTGAATTTGCTGAATTGATTTCCGTGGATCTGGTCTGTATATTGTTTTTTAACAACACAGCTGTGAAATATTTGCAGCCAAATGTTCTCCAGTTCAAACTGGCTCATTTGGATGAACTGGGCTACAGGATCTCGATACTTTTGGGTTCTGATGTAGAGATGCTAGCTCTGTCTCAAACCTCCAGAGCATTTTCAAAGTGGAAATGTGTAAAGAAAAAAATTAAACCAGAAGTATACATATACCTTTTCTTCTGTCTGAAATTAAACCAGATTAAATTTCTCATATTTAAAGTTTGTCAGAATTACCTAAATAATTTTATTTTGAGATCTACTAATTAATGTCTTTAACATCAGAAGTTAACTGATGATTATGATCTCCTTAAGCAGTGGAGGAAAGCCAGGATGATGATGTGATGGCTTTGGGATCCTGTGACATTACTGGATAAATCTTTCGCAAATAGAAATAATTTAGTTAATGACATGAGACAAGAGCACTTTGGTCTGATTTACAGTGAGAAAAGAGGTGTGTCTTTCTCATTCTAAACTTCTGGTTTCAACTGTAAGTCAAATACAGGCACTTTCACAAACAGTGCGAAACAAGCTCCAGTACAAAACATGCTGGAAACTAACCAAGTACTCCAAACCAGCATCTAGAAATGTTTCTCTTAATTCTACACCTGAGCTAATTCTGTGTTAGCTTCTTGTCTTTTCCATGTAGTTTGCCTGTTAACAATGCTGACCAATCACATTAGTTGTACTTCAGAGACAGTTACAAAGCAAAAACACCACAAATAAAAGCTCCTATAAAGCAATCAAAAAAACCTGTTTGGCACGTCTCGTGTAATTTCTGGTTATGTAGTTTCGTAGCATTTTGTAGTGCTATGGAAACTTGCACTTGAAAATATAATGTTTACCCACCCAGGACTGATATGAACATAAAAAACATAGGCAGAAGTTTATGTTATAGAGCACACTTACAAGACAAGTTGACCAAAGTGCTGAATAAGTCATAAATTATCAGTAGCATACAATTTGCATAGTATTTGCTCAGAAAATCTAACAGCTGTCAACAGCTAAACATTCAAGCTCCTAATGTGTGAGCCAGCAGCTTGACCTGAATTGTTTTCCTGTCTTTAGGATGGCTGTCTGTGGCCTTCAGACAGCGGATCCCGACAAGGTGCCTCAGAGGTAAGACCACCACTCTGGTCCTCATGTTAGACACAGTGCTGATCCTGCACATCATGAGCATGACATTCAAAAATAGAATATTTTATAAAATATGTATTTCAAAAACAAGAAGTTGTCCTGAAATAATTTCAACATGTTTCTTGTATTAACGTTTTGAGGAAAACTCATTTCAACTCTGTAATTGCCAGGTTAGCTTTGGGAATGCATGGAAGGTCAAATAATTGCAATGTCTATTATTATTATTTTTTCAATCTTGCAAGAATGTCGTAATAAAAAAAATTGTAATACATGTATATATGTAGATCTTTTTTTCTTTTTCCAAAATCAAAAGCACAACATACAAAATAAGGAGAAAAAAAGACAAACAAACAGATTCTTGGACGATCAAGAATCTTCATTGTTCCATATGGATTATGTTCCCTGTTGATACACAATTATGTATCAATTATTGACATGATTGCCCCAGATACATACCACATGCACACTCCCTCTCGCCTGTGGGGGTGCTGCACCACGAACCACTACAGAAAACAAACATCTGAAGAAGACATTGAGAGCAGCTTCATTCTTCACAAAGGGTAAATGAAAATGGAGTGGTGTCAGATTTCTCTTGTCTTTGGCAAAAGGCCAAAAGACATTTCTCCCTCTATTTTGGTGATCCTCAAAGTTATGTTTTGGTACTAATATTAATGACAACTGAGTTTCGGTCTCAGTTCATCCAGTCAGGATCGTTCAGATAAGCATTTGGATTGACCAAAAGACAGATTTTATCTCCCATGCCTCGTTGGTTGTGCTTTAGAATAAAACAGCTGTGAAACAGCCAAACACTAACAGGTCTGATCAAATGATTCCTATTAAATGCTTTCATCTCTCTACCTGGAAATCTGTCTGCAACTTCAAGGTAGACACATGCAGCAGATGAATGAAGAAATGTGCTCTAGATGTACTCCAATGGAACCTATAAATACCATGCATTACTACAAGGTTGATTGTTTTTATTTATGCCTTGAACTTAGTCGCTTCAAAGCACATTCAACGATTTGCACAGAAGTGCTGATGTTCACCCTCAGCATTCTCAGAGCTTTAACTCTGTTTAATTCTGGAACTGTGTCAGCCACCACACCTAAGAGTAATGTCTCTCAGCTGATTAACGGCATATGAATGGCTCGGTATGAATGATGTGCCCATCAATAACTATTCCTGCAGTACGTTTTTTAAAGAGCTATAGTGACAATTACATGCAAGATGACTGGAACTGAAAGTAGAAAACAAACTGAAAATGTTTGAGGCTCAACATATGCCCACCAGCTTCCCTGTGTCAGTTAACTTATCCTCATCATCAAAGTGGGGAAAAAAGTAATCCAATAGGTTCCGACACCATATATCTTCAGCCTCACAACATAATTTATCATATTCATCATATTGATCTCCTTACACTTCCACATCACCCTGCCTGTCTGTCCTCAGCCAATCAGAAGTAATTACAATGTCTTTTTTCCCCCCATATTTTATTTACGTTTTTTATTTTGCTTTTTCAAGATGATCAATATCTTTATATAATCAATATTTGAAAAAAAATTATTTAAAGACTAATTTCCATGAAAATTTATGCAAACTGACCCATTCATATTTTCCCAAATTTCTGCATTTCCTTTTGCAGCAACTCTGCAATATCAGACATGTTCACAAAGCAGCCAATCGAGGAGTTATTGGCTGAAACCCCAGGAACGAATTAAGGAAGACTGTAGATGTTGGCTTCTGCTGTAAGATTAAGATGATTTCCAGTGTACCTATTAAAACATCCTCAGGAATATTTTGGGTGTGAACTATTAAAACATGTAATTATGAGCATTTTTAGTGGGATGTTCAAGTATTAATGGATGTTAGCCTTTTTGCAGGTGGCTGTGGTCCCCAGCACCCACAAATACCAGGTGGCCAATGTAGTATACTTAAAAGCAAATCTGAAACCGATCCAGTGGGTCTGTTATATAATCAGAATGCTTTTGTTCAGCAAATCTTCTCAGTGTCGGCTCTCAGCTCTTTATTTTGTTTCCTTGCCGACTTCTTTCTTGGCACACGGCCTTCTGTAAATGCTCAACGCTCACAGGAATACAGTTGAGGTACAAGGAGCCTGACATTTGCATTCTGGCTGCTTGTAAATATTTGATCGTCCAGGAATGGAGCTCATATGCCGCACTGTGCAAGCATGGCACCGTACATCAGACATGATCAAAGCTGGCATGTCCTCAAAGAATCATGGGCACAAATATGTAAACTAATGCCAGCATACTTGCCATGAATGGCAGCGAGCTTAGCTTAATGATTGTTTTCTTGATGAAAGCGTTTGAGTCCGGGTGAGAAGAGAGAGTTGGAGAGGTAAAAAGAGAAACATGTGACGCATAGTGTCATTGGAGCTATGAGTTAAAATGGTCCTAATGTGCTTCCACATACACACCAGATCTAAAGTTGCAGTTCTTCCTCTGTGAGAACCTTAGAGGTAAAACACAAGAAAAGTGAATGGGAAGTGACAGGAAGTGGGGTTTGAGAGAAACCAGCGAAGAGGAAGAGAGTGACAGTAGGTGGAAACAGTGTTGGTGCTGAAGCAGCTGGAGAGGAAAAGGCCATGCAGAGACAAACACAGAGGGAGACACAGCCAGTGAGTGTGGGTGGCTGATAGATGCAGGGATGCTGTCTGAATCTGTGTGTGTTTGTGTGTGGCAGTTTGGGCTGAGGGGGGGAGGGGCCCAGTGGATTCTGGTGCGTCATTAATCAGCAACACCTCCCCTGACACTGTCTAGACAGCCGTCTGAGAGCTGCCCTGCTCCACTGCGCTCTGCTCCCTCCATCAGCTCTACACCTTTCTCCCCCCTCTGTCTTTCTATCTTTCCGTCTCCACTTTCTCTCTTCTGTTTTTTTCCTATCTCGCCCTGCTCTCTTTCTCTCCATGGCTCTTTTTATTCCCTTCTCCTTTCTCTCCATCCTTATCTCAGCGGCCTTTCTTTTAAAAATCCTTTCAGATTGACTCTTTCTGTGCTTCAGCCAGTCTCTCCATTTCAGCTGCCCAGATTCTCTCTTCCCTTCTCTCCCTTCTCTCCCCCAGCTTCTGTTTCCAAGCCTGTTGTTCTCTTCACTCAGACTGCTTTGTCAGTGGGGGTTGATGATTAGAGACACAGTCCCTAATTGAAATAAGTTCCCTCTGATAATAAGTTGCTGCAGCAGCAGGGAGTGGGGCTGGATAGAAATGTTAGATATGAACACATGGATCATGACGTTCCAATTTGAGGAATCAATTGAAGTGAAGAACAAAAGCTGGCAGATGAACTAATGTGCTGATGATTGTCCTGTTTGAGTGAGGGATCTCCTTTCTCTCCTGTAATCAAGCTGAAACATCTGTAACCACTAAATGGTAGTTCACTGGTCAGCGTGGAGGTACATATCGATGATCCACCATCATTTGCATCAAAGCCATTGATCCTGCATGTGTATTTAAGCAGTTAACGAAAATAAGAAAGAAAAAAAAAAGATCTTGAGAGGCTGAGCTGTAAAATAGCACCATTATCACAGCCAGTAATATATTTGCCAATGTTTGTTGTTTTTGTTGCTAAAAGTGTTTTAGGACTTTAAAGAAGTTCTTTAATTTCCAAAGCACTAAATTATTCTTTTTAAATAAAACCATGTTGAGACAAACCTAAAGGATTTATTGCCTGGGATGTTATTCTCACGATGACTAGAGTTCTCATTTTCTGGACTTAGTTTGCAATGAATCCAATGAATCACAGATCTTCATTGGAGGCTGGGAACTTTGGCATGTGATGTCACATTGCAAACAAAAGTTCCATTGGCCGTTTATAGATCCTTGTTTTAGAGGTTCTGAATGAGTAAAACTCAGACATTTGAGAACATTTCTTTGTATGTTTTTTTTTTTGTTATGTTATCAGTTTTCCTCCTCCTCTTAATGCTAAGTTTTCCCTGTGTGTTTCTCTCTGATCCAGGTATTATACGCTCCTCAGGCCAGGGATCGCTTCACCGCTCCCTCCTTCATGCAGCGCGATCGCTTCAGCCGCTTCCAGCCCACCTACCCCTACATGCAGCACCAGATCGATTTGCCGCCCACCATATCGTTGTCAGACGGCGAGGAGCCCCCACCATACCAGGGGCCCTGCACGCTGCAGCTCCGCGACCCTGAGCAGCAGATGGAGCTGAACCGGGAGTCAGTGAGAGCGCCGCCCAATCGGACCATCTACGACAGTGACTTGATCGACATAGGGAACAGCGGCAGCCTGGTGGGGGCTGGAGGAGGTGGGGGAGGTCTGGGAGGAGGGGGCCCCAGGCCGCCCAGCAGTAACTCTGGCATCAGCGTGGCCAACTCCTGCAGCCACGGGCGCATGGAGGGGCCCCCTCCAGCGTACAGTGAGGTGATGGGCCATTTCCCAGGCTCCACGTTCTTTTTACACCAGCACAGCAATAACCAGAGAATAGGGAGACCAGGGGATCCAGGGGGACTGGGGAGCAGGACGATCCAGCAGCAGGGCCAATCAGAAAGCACAATAGTACCTGCCAAGGCCAAGGATGGCCAACCAGAGGACCTGGTGTGAGGAAAGGGGGAGTGGGGCACTCGGGGGGCCAAGCACCCCGGACTCAGCACCGTCTCCTATGTTTACGGCTGACATGGAAGTATCGGCCTCTGTATCACTCTGTCGCTCTCATGTCCTCTCTCCACACTTCCACGCACAAACAAATCTCGACCCGAACTACAGCAAAACAAAGAAGGAGAAACCCAGAGTTTATTTCATTTCACTTTCTATCCAGCCGGCACCGCTGGGGAATTTTTATTTCCTCCTTCTCTTGGAGAAAGAGAGAAAAACTCTAGCTAGCACAGCCTTTGAGTTTTTTTCAGTTGGTGAAAGCTCTACGATGGGGACGGGGGAGAAAGTTCCTGTTTTCTTTTGTCTTTTCGATTTGCTTTTCGGACCGGGATCTGTGCACAACGCGAGAACTGAGAACCCAGGACATGCGGAGAACACAACAAAAAACAAAACAAAAGACTCACAAACCCAAATCTTAGTGCCAAGGTTCACGAGGAAGCAAAGCAAAGAGGGCAAACATCTTCTAACATTCACAACACAACAAAAAGAAAAGTTCCCTAAAAGTTGCACTATCTCTTTTGTCGTAAGAGAGGAGGGACATGATGTCATCTGATGCTGATGTTTGTGTTTTCATTTTATTTTTGTTGCAGGGTTACTCTTTGCTTCTTTTTTTTAAATCAAGGGTTTCTTTTTATGGATGGACTGAACGACTGACTGAAGTCTTGCTCCAAAGTTCTCAAAAAACAAACAAACAAAAAACAACCCTGAAAAAAACTAAAAAAAATTTAACAAAAACTAACAAGTATAAGCTTATCTCCATCCTTTTTCGAAAAGCGCAAGAAATCCTTGAACCCAGTCTAAAATATCTGTTCACACAACAGGCACACTGAAACTTAGTAAGAGAATAACCATGTACTGCTTTACGTCTGCTTCTTAATCGGGGAGAAAAATCTATCTTGTGACCAAGCAGTGATGCTTCTTAAAATCTTGACTAAAAAGATTTTCGTCATTTCAAATCTTGAACTGACTAACGATTTAAATCAAGTTCAAAGACGCAGTATTATGTATAAACGACTCATATGAGCTTTACGTCATCTTGTAAAGTTATTCCCTCATCGTTCTTTCATGCATGTTTAAGAAATGTTTTAATCTCCATGGCAAACATTAAGCTAGGCAACTATCCAGGGTGGACCTAGCTCTGCCTTCGAGGACAAAGCTCTTTCCAGTTTCAGAGGTTCTGCTTCACAGAGCAGCCGACTCCCCAACTCGGCTCCTTCAGACTAGCCAGTAGCAGTTAGCAAGCATCTGGCGGAACTGCATATCTGCTGAGCTCATTATTGGTAAAAACTTTGTTAAAGGATTAATAGATGAGCCATGTTGTGATGACTTCCTGATGGTGAAGTTTCAGAAAGGGCAGGAGTTTTTAAAGAGATATAGGCCCTATTTTAAGGTGTTAAGTTAAAAAGTTAAAAAAAAAATTAAGTCACATGTACTGCTGTTCTTATGTACAGCAGTTCTATAAGAACTGTAGGTAACAGAGTTACTGGATTGTGCTATAAAATGGCACTCTGTCCCTGAAAATTACATAATACCGCCCCTTTGAAACTGTGTTTTAAACACTTCAACGCGTGTTAGGTTTTATTTGCCGTCTTGGTCAAAGGAGGTTCTTCTCTCCAAACTGTCCTGTTCTGTTCTCTGAGCACCTGACCCTTTTCTTTGTCGACCCGCACAGTGCATTCTGCCACACGGATCTCAGAAACCCTCCCGCAGTTCTGCAAACCAATACAAGGCTCAACCCTCCGTCTTCACATGAGCGACGACCCACACACACACACATACACACACACACACACACACACATCTAAAAGATCAAGTAAAGATCGCTTAAATAAGGATTCCACAAAAAAAACTGACTGTGGTTGACGTCAAAGGGCTACCAGAGGGTCCTTTTTGATAACTAGAAAATCTAGCCTTTTTTTCACCTCATTGTTGCCTTCAATCTCTGCTGTTGCGCTTGCTCTATCTCACTTCAGCACATTTCAGTGCACCTTCTTCTCCCTCCACTCCCGCCCTGCAAAGATAAACTGCTCATCGCCCATCCTGCCATTTGTGTGCAAAGATGATGCAGAGTCAGCCAAGCCCTTTAAAGCTGAGACTGGAGTGGAGTCGTCGTTTGGCAGCATGCTGATGCAGTCTCCTCCTTGCAGTACGAGTGTGTCCATGTGTTTGTTGCTCAGACCCTAGGCAACACTGAAAAGCACTTAAAGCTCCTGCATAGGTATTGTATGTGTGCGTCCTTCTGAGTGATTTCTGATCTGCCTGCTTGGAGTTTTTAACACTTAAATACATGTTTTTTTGTTGTTGTTTGTTTTTTCTTGTATGAGTTCAGCAAAGCATTTCTTAAAAACCCAGGAATGGACAATGGTCAGTAGCCAAAGAGACGAAACAGGTTCTAGCAACTTTCACAAAATAAGCTTCAGATTCAGTTTCAAGCTCCAGCAAAGTGTCAACAAATCTGACAAATGTAGTTTCTGACCACTCGCATCTGGGGGAATAAATTCATATTTGCAGCGACAGAGAAGTGATGACTCACGGGATCAAATATCAGTTCTCAGATCTCGTCATATTTATCTAATTTGCTCAATTTTTCACACAAGCTGCGTTTCCATTGACCGTAAAAAATGTGCAAATTGAAATTACGTAAATAAATTATCTTAATGGAAACTCGCTAATTCTGATCAAACGTTTTTTGATCAAACGTTTTAGCGTTAGGAAGAGGTGGTTTTCAGCCCTATCAGATTAGATGTATTTTGCAGAACTCTAAAAGAAACAGATTATTCCCATCACACAAGCCAAGTGATCAACAACCTGATATTACTACTGGCAGAAATGACAAATAAGATGACAGGAAGTGGTAGGAGGATGATGTTTTTGTTTTTTTTTCAGACGATGGCTCCACCAGAGCTCTCACAGCATCACACAGTTCTTAAAGAGTTGTGTGTCATTCCACTGTGTTTCATCTTCAGTAAACACAACAATTACATAGTTGCATGTATAAGTGGTTTGCCGCTCCAACGCCTGACTAAGTCACTAGCGTCTGCTATGATTGGCTGAATTATGAACATGTTTTATGTTTACAACCCTCGTTGCCATGGCTTATCACATGTGATTCTAATTTCCTATGTAATGGAAATGACAGAATATCAAAATTTAGGGGTTTTTTATATTGATGGAATATAGACAAAGATTTGCTCATGTTTGTAATGGAAACACAGCTATTCTTGCTTCTTTTGGCATGCATGTTTCTATCTAAGGAACATTGTGGAACATCTGCACATTTTTGGTATCACTTTTGATACATCTATGTAAACTAATGTATGCAGATTGGGCTATATGGTGGACATTACAATCTTTCTTCTTTTCTGGCAGATCAGGCTGCTTTTATCTTGACATTGTATTTTATTGTTTTCTATTCCTAAGTGATTCATGCTTCTGGCGAACTTAAAAGTTGCTTTCATTCAACCAAGAAGTTTGATCTGAATGGAAACAGGAATGCCAAACCGTAGACCTTACAGTTCGCTCACCATTCAGAAGATCGCAACACAGTTATCAACTTACTATGAAGTAACACGACACACAACCGTATAGCCCTTCCCCCTTCACTAGTATCTAAGAGACCAAAATGTTTTAGATAAAAAACTGAGTTTAAATGTCTCAGACAAAAAGATTAAACAGAACACAGTTTAATCTGCTCTGAATGAAGGAACTGTTAATGGATCTCTGCACGTTTCTACCTACCAATTTTGAACTTAATTCTGTCTTGGTGGTCTTTGACTGTTCCCTGTTGGTGAAGCACTTCAAAACAGTGTCACTGCAATATTAGATGCACCGGAAGGCCATGAACCTGAGGAGCATTATTACCCTTATGATAGTGATGGTCATAATGTATCTACTTCCACAACTGAAAAACAAGGCAGGGAAACGTAGTAAGATGAAAGTTTTCAAAATGTTTGACAGTGGTTCTCTCTGGATCCAGACTTTGGACAAATTTTTATTTTTTTTTTTTTACCAACTGGAATTTTTTTGCAGTCTTTAGTCATCTAAAGATCTCTTCTCAGGAGATTTGTTGGATCCCGGAGAATATTAAGTATAAAGCGGCTGAATTAATTTCGACACATTGATTTGTGTTGGGTAGAGACGGAGCAGACACATTTCCAGGTGCAGTAACACCTTAACTTCCCTGGAGCCTCTTCACAGTTTAGTGCGACTTGAGCAATAGAGATGCAGTGAGAGTGATTTAGAAATATCAAACTAAAACAGAAAATGTGTCTGGAAGTCCACATGTTCATTGTGTTTTTTTAACCCTCCCGTGGTCTTAGCGTGACGCTCAGGAGGAGCGCGACAGATGACACGGTCGGACAGCGGAGAAGCTGTCAGACCAAAACCACACATGGAAAAAAGCTTGTAAAAGTGCGAAAAGCCTGTGGGCTTGAAACGGCCCTATCTCTTCAGACAGTGGGAGGGTTAAGCTAAAGCTAGATTTTCAGTTCCAACATCACAAAGAGGGACGTTTAGCTCACTTTGGGCTGAAGCGCCTGAATCGCTTCTAATTCCGTGTGTTTGAATGTATGTATGCAGATATCCGGCTTGTGTCTTTCTGCTTGTGTGTGTGTGCGTGTGTATGCTACTACATCGCTGCTGCTATTGCTGTTGCTGCTACCACTGTCTTTGCTACTGCTGCTTCTCACATCCCTCCCTCAGCCAGCCTTTCTCTGTCTTGTCCATCCTGTCCTCCTCCACTCATCCTAAGCTTAGGAGAGAAAGCTGCAGTGAAGCCAACAGGAACCTGGGACTCCTGGTACTTTTGGTCTTTAGCTGCAGGGAGCTGCTTCACACTCAGATCTCTTCTATGGTTTTTTTCTTTTCTTTCCCTTCCTACCCTTTGTTTTTTGGGGTTTTTTCTCTTTTTTTTAAGCTTGTTTGTACTGCGCAGTCATAAGCTTGTAAATGGAGGATAAATAAGATAAATTTTATGTTTTCTACAAGGAGGTTTGCATGTTATTAATATATGAGTAAATACGGTGCCTAATGTTCATGTTTGAGCAGACCACGCCTCTGTCACACTGCTTCTCGGAATCCAGGCAGGCGCCGTCTCCGGTCTGGCGGAGCACAGCTGAAGTGTTCAAGGTCCTTCCAGAATCATCCATTTCTGGGCAATCAAAAGCTTTCTGAACTGAATCTGATCCCAAATTTCATCCATTAGGATCATCCCCGCCCCCCCTTGTTCTCACCGAAGGTATTCCGAGCAGCACTGTAACGGGACTGTGGAGCAGACATAGGAACCCACTTGCACTCAAAAAGCTCCCACCTTCGTTGTGCCTCACTTCCAACGGTGCTTTTTTCAGTAGTCTGTCTTTCTTTATGTTTGTTTGTAAGGTGCTGTATATAACTTGAATATATTATGCACATATCCTACCCAGTGGGTAGAAACCATGAAAAATATGTTGTGAATAATGTAATATACTGTATAGACAATATAAAAATTTTAAGAGGGCAACATCAAATTTGTAAATGCCTACAGTTAAAAATGTGCTTTGTCTGTTTTTTTTTCATAAGAAAACGTGTTTTTCAAAGTATGCTCAGAAAATATGGTTGCAACACACATTTACAACTTCTGATATTTTCTTATTAATAATAGTGTGTTATGATATGGCTGAGCTTCAGTAGCTTGTCGATGGGTTTCCTCTGTCGCAGCGCCAGCCGTCACTCAGAACCCGGAAAAAAGGTGCCGGGTTCATCCCGACCGACGATCAGATGGAATAAAAATGATCTATTTAGTATCACAGATGACTGACTCTATTGGACATTAAAATGTCCAATAGAACAGAACCTCTACTGCTGAGGCAGTAGAGGTTCTGTACAAATGTTTGAACCAAACCCAGATTTACTTGCAGCAGCTCAGAAACCTGAACAAATGCAACCTTTGCATTTCAGTGCATTTATTCAGTGGGAAAAATGCAAGTAAACCAATAGTTCATTTTTTTTAATCAACTTTTTTAAAGTTGATTTAAAAAAGTTAAATTTTTTTAATCAATCAATTGATTAAAAAAAATCAACTGATTGATACTCTAATCTGTTGATTAGAGTATCAAAGAATTTCTAATTAGTAATCCATAATATTCTGTAACTCTGGGGAACAAATGAGAAGTAACAGATTCTGTTGCTGCAGCAGCATGGCTGGAGGAGTCATATAGGAGAAAAAGGTTGGATGTAGGAAAAGACCTTCTGTTAGGTTTGGCAGAGGATCTGTGATGCTGTGGGCTTGTTTTTCCTCCTGAAGTCTGAGAAACCTCATTAACGTGAAAAAACATATATTTTTTTAATATACAAAAAAATCCTTTTTTAGATTAAAAATTTGTTGAACTATTATTTTAAAATACGTCCTCAGGCCTAAAAGGGATGGGTGGGACATTTAAGACGTTTTTTTAAAAGACCATTATGAATGAGCTATATCTGAACGTTGTCCAGTCAACTGGTGGTAAATTTATACTGACCCCAAAAAGCTTCCTTGGTAGCAAGGAAGGGTCACAGCATAGAGCATAGAGTCACAGAACACAATCAAGATGTCAGTGTGTGACTCAAGAACTAAAATACACAGAACTTACAATTAAATAGTCCTGCCAAGACCTGTGATTAACATATTTTAGGTCAACTTACTTTTAAAAAGCTAATATAAGGCATTTTAAGGCTTTCATTTTTAGATACACAAATTCAAGACTTTTTAAGGATGCACTGGCACTGTGTGGTGGAAAAACACAAAATATTTACAGAAGAACCCCCAGCAGGCTGAGGCAGTAGAGGTTCTGTAAAAACAAATAAAAAATAGGAAATTCCCCACTAAATAAATGTTCTCGAGTTCATCATTTTCAGTGCTGCAGATAAAGCTGGATGTGTTTGAGGTTTTGATCTGGTATTTGTATTTTTTGACATCCTTGCCAGACGTGCCAACGAATGAGCCAGGCTCATCAGCCTCTGTGACGGCAGCCGTCAGGAACATGGCAGTCTGACTGGAGCTTTACTTCCTGTCAGCAGGGAGACGACAAGGCGAAGCTCTAGAGGAACTTGGCTTCACGAGGTTGCACCAGCAGCAGGAAACAAGCTCCGGGTTAAAAACTATCGGTTACTTCTACTCTATTATTTAGCCGCTTATTTTCTACATAACAGCAGTATATCTGGCACAATGTATAACAGGCGTCATGTTTAACCTGCAGCCATTCTAATATGTACTAAAAAGAACTCCACTGTACAATAACTGCAGAGCATGTTCATTCTTATCTATAGACGATGTACATAGCTACGCGCCATTTCTTTTTTTTTCTTCTTCTTCTTCACAGCACCAAATAAGTGGCACTTGTGTTGTTTTGATTTGGGGATAAAGTTGCCTCTGCTCTCCTCATGTTTGGATGTTTTGTTTCCGGGAAGAGAAAAGACTGACTTCCTCTTCCCTCCTCTCTGCAGTCTGGACTCCAGCAGCTGTTCGTATCGTTCCACCTCCAGTAATAACGTCTCAACAGTTTGTCCTGACATTTACCATAGGACTGCTTCCATTATGGGTTTTGTAACATCAGTTTGCTTTATTTACAAAAATGAATCCTTCTTGTACCCCTCCCTCCCCCTCTGTGCTGAAATCTATATATATATACATATATATATAGAGAATGATATATATTTATATGGTCATGTTTAGTAACCATATATCTATATATATAAATATATATATATCTATGTATGTAACACAGAGGTAAAATTGTTGTGTATTATTGCCTCTTTTTATTTAAGCAATTGTGATGTAATAGGTTTTAGGCCTAAGGTCTGTTATTGCAATACTTTTACAGAAAAGCAGAAAAAAAAGAAGTGAAAAAATGTCGCTCTAAGTGCTGTTGTAGTCAAAGATTTTATGCTTGTACTTATGCTGTAGTCAGACTGCAGCGTAACAAATAAAACTTTAAAAGTGATCCTCCTGCTGGGCCTCCTGTCTGTTCACAGAAAGAGGAGCAGAGCTTTCAGAACATGGCTGCTGCTTCCCGCTCTGCTCTGCAGCTTTAGGGCCAGGACCTGATGCTTCATTCATTTGTCGGAAACTAAACGAAGCATCAGGAGTTGGCTTGCGGGGCAGCGGTTCCCGACGGGCTTCAACGATGGCTTTCAAAATTTGCTCTCCAACGTAAATGTTGTGGTTGGGTATCTATGCATTGCAAAGTCCTGAAGTGAACTTTATTTTCCCCAAAAGACAATTTGCTGTTCAGACAACACCGAAGACATGCTAAGAAAAAACTCATACAAAATACACGGCTGTGTGTTTATTTTATGGACTAATAATTGCAGAATTTCAACCAGATGAAACGGCAGTTTTTGAGTCTATTACACTTAATGATTCATTAATTACTAAATTAACTGGGTGGGCATTTATCACGTTAAAACATTTTTAAACATTAATTGACATTTATAATGTTAATGGCAATTCAAAATTCTAATGAGAAAAATGATTTTAAAAATGTTATAAATTTAGTGAAATGATTAAAATTTACTAAAATGTTCTTTATAATTTAGAACTGTCATTATAACATTATAAATTCTGGTTTAAAGCTGATCTATTACAAAATAAAAATGTTTTCTATATCAGTGTTTGTCCAGTTGCCTACAAAGAGGCAAGAAACGGTTTTTATCGTCACTTTCATTTTTATCGGAATAGTCCGATAAAGTATCGTGATAAAACTTTAAGTCCATGTCGCCGAAGCCTAGTCAATGATTGATTTCAATAAACCATTAATCCGATCCAACTCTTCAACCTTCCAGAGCGTTTCTCTTCTAAATCTGCTGATTCCTCTGCTTCTGGCCCAGTGCTCAGATCCGAAGGGAAGCATCGCTCCTCATCTTTCTCTCCGTTTTGTTTTCTAGAGAGTCATCAGCAGCAATCTCTCTGAACAGGCAGGAAATGACTCACTCAGCCATGTAAAGAAAGCTTATGCATAAAACATGCCTTTCTGTATATTTAAGCCAGAATGCCTTATTTATAGACAGGCTCCATCTGGCGACTTGTCGTAACATCCTCAGGAGTGAAACAAACCTCGTGTTCAAAACCCTTCAACTCACTCACAACGTCTTGTCCTCTGCGTGAACCTGGAGCTGCCAAACGCTGCTGGGAACGAGATCCCCTTTTAACTCATTTTCAGACTGCACACACACACACACACACACACACACACACACACACACACACACACACACACACACACACACACACACACACACACACCTCACATCAGGGACACATCTGAAGGTTGCAGGACTCAAGTGACTTCTCTTCACAGGACCCAATGGTGTCTAATTCTGGTGGTCATCAGGCGAGAAGCAGGGTACACCCTGGACAGGTCACCAGTCCATCACAGGGCAACACAGACATGCAAACACACACACACACCTGAACTTGGAGTAACCAGTTAACCACACTATGGTGAGTGGGGGACGTTTGCCTCAAAGCAGAAGCTTAAAAACCTCCATTCTGCAGCTCTGAGGAGGAGCTTCGTCCTCGAAGGCGGGGCTAGGTCAAACCAGGCATTTTGTTGCCATGGAGAGTAAAATGACTTCACAAAACATGCATGAAAGAATCAAGTCAAGAATCAAGTTTATGATGAGGGAATAACATGAAAACATCACGTAAAGGCAAAAAATGTGGATTTTATATAATACTGACTCTTTGAAACTTTTACAAATGCAGTTTCAGTGCAATGGTGCGCCCAAAAACCCACGGGCATTGATTTATATAAAAAAGAAGTAAATTTGCTGATAAACCAGTTTTTCAAACACTGTTGCCGTCTGTCATCTAAACCAACACAGTTAGTCCTGATGATTTTCTTTTTAAAGATAATTCCATTATAAGAAAGAGACAGAGCAAAATATGACATCTTTTGTTAAAGTTTCAGGGTTCAAACCACCGCTGACCAAGGAGGATATTTTCCCACCTAAAGTATCTGAATTATTCCTAAGATCTTTGAGAAATATCATGTGGTGTGGGCAGACAGAAAAACTTTAGTTCACCTCTGAACGACTCACAAAGGTTTCAGAGCTGCTGAGTCAAAATAGTTCTTAGTACAACTGAGATGCCAGAATATACAAACCAGACAAACAAAATGTTTCACACGTCTATTTAAAAAGTCAAGCAAAAAACACAGGTTTACTGTTTAATTTTTAATTATTTTTTTTGCACATTTTAATCAGACGTTCAGATAAAAACAAGATTAGTGACCCCTGTGACATTCCACAGGGTTGTAACTCATTATGTTCTGTTTTGCGCCTGCAGTAGGAAGTGGGATTCATAGTTCATAAAAATAGCACTCCTCTTGACTTTTGGTGTAAATTTGACACCACAAAAATGTCAGAATTTGCCAAAACTTTTTATTTATTTTTTTTGTGAGAGTTTAAAATGATATTATCTGTCCTGGTGTTTGTGCCTTTAAATGCAGCTATTTTTCATTTTGGTAAATTGAAGATTTCTTTAAGTTTCTCTTCAGTCAGTAGAACACTTTGCTAAACTCCAGAGATAAACAACACAGATATTTAATAATATTTAACAAAAGGGACGCTGCTGGATTATTTCACGTTATTCTTTGAGTCATGTTGCTATTTTGAATATTTTAGAATGTTCCCTACTTCAAATCCTTATTTCGAATGTTAACTGAAACAAATCTGACCCCTAATGTGACGGTTTAATAATACATCAGGAGTGTGAAAACTTTCTGTCCACAGAGGACAAAAACCTGGAAACATGACCTCCCACAGTGGGGTCGTTGTTGTTTTCTTCATTTCCCTCCTGACCTGTTGGTCACCTCAGGTTCTCTCTGGCTCCCTGCGACTTGAGTGATGTTTAGCCACAGATTCACACCTGAGGAACACAGATTGGCTTTAGCCGATAAACATCTCTGGAGTCAAAGTGGTGCTCTGTCCTCTGTGCCACGCTCCCAGTGGGAGAACGCAGGTGTTGGTGTGAGGGCCGTGGGCTGCATAAACAGCTGTTCATTACCTCAGACAGCAGAGGTCATTGTCGCTCCTCCATGCACGTTTTTATTCAGAGCCACGGCGACAGGCTGGAGCAGATTACCTGAGGAATGATGGGATGTTTGCATCTGCTTAGCATTTCTGATCACTGACAGGCCTGAAGGACTGTCCTCAGGAACTTTAACCGCTAACTTTATGATATACATCCTGCAATCTGCTGCTTTGGCTGCAGTACAAAAATATTTGTTGGATGAGTTGGGAGGGCAGGAGGGAGGAGGCTATGAGTCTGTTGCAAAGATAAAAAAATAAAAAAACAACAAAAAGAACATGAACAAAATATTTTCAACTCCTTCATGCGTGATGACTGTGAACATTTTGGATTGATTTCCAAATGGTAAAAATAAGGGATGAAATCAAATATATCAGAGTTTTTTCAGGTATTTCCACTTGGATCTGAAGCAATTTTGAAAATATTTTTTTAATGGAATATTGTGTTTTTAGTGAACAAAAATTTCGGAACACAGACTTAAAATAGAACGTAATGAATACTCGATGTCTATGTGCAAATCCTTCACCACTGGATCAGCCGTGATGCTCGGCCGAGCCAGCCGTCTTTTCTCCTGGGCCCGTCGGCCATTGGCTGCTTTGTGAGGTTTGATCCTCCAGGTTTCCTCTTCGGTGGGTAAACTGCTGCTCTGGAGGTCCATTTGATCGGATCAGAACCTTCCCCCTTCCTGATCAACCTGTGATTCAAGTACAAATCAAAGCTCAAAGGTTTATCTCTCGTCTTATATCGTTTGGTCTCAACTTTTTAGCAGCAAAATTAAAGTGGATTTTCCAGTCCAGCCGTCGCACACCGAGCAATTTTCTTTTATCTAAAAGGGCAACAGGAAGAAATATTCTCTCCTTACTGCTTCCATAGGAAGCCTGGTGCTTTTGCCATTTCTTCAAGAACATTTGGCTCGTCATGCTGTGACTCAAAAATTACACACAAATGTGATGATTTTCATATCACGTTTATTCGGTGTGATTTTGACCAAACATCAGTGAATTTCTGGTGAGGACATCAGTTTGTTTACTAAGTGAAACAAGTTATTTCTGTCACATTGTGAAACTTTAATATCTGGGTTCTATACAGCAGTCCGTTTACAGTCCCGGTCAGAAACTCCTTCTGCTCCGCGGCCCAAACGCCATGAAGGACAAAATACTCGGGTATCAAGAAAAATGTCAGCAGTTTCTAATAAAAAAGCCTAAATGAGTTAATTATGATAATGGTTTATTATTATGCCTCATGATAAATTCAATATGCAACAAAACTTAAAAAGCAGTCATATTTTTGGAGAAAGAGGATCTGCAAATGATTGTTAATCTTATTCAAAGATTTGCATTTTCATGAGAAGTTCATAGAAATACTTCACGTTTTTGGTTGAATGTTTCACATCTTTTAGATCTACAATTTTTTGTCCCCATTCTCAGCAACAAAAACAAAATATGGATCAAAGTTTATTGAATGAATTTTTTTCCATCAAGATGAGGCCATATTGGTAGGACTGTTGCCTTGCAGAAGATCCTGGGTTTGAACGGTTATTTTGTTGCGTCTGTCTCTGTGTTGTCCTGGCAACCTGTCCAGGGTGTCCCTCGCCTCCTGGCCCGGATGGATGGATGGATGAAAACCTTTTGAACCTCATTTCTGATTCATTGTCTCCAGATTGAAATTTTGAAGTTTTGTGATCACAGAAAGCTTCCAACAATCATTAGTCTCCTGTCACAACAAGCCTCAACATTCAGGGCCGACTCGTTCTCCTCCGTCTGATCAGAATCCGTCCTGGAGTTCTGACCAGGACTGTGCAGCTGTGCTTACCTCATGTAAACTGTACCAAACCATCCTCCGCTTTAGTCCTGTTTCAACTTGGCTCTCATATTGCAGAAACCACAACCAATGTGATATATTATTTGACTATCAAGAGAAAAACTCATTAAAAAAAACATTATTTCTGGTTAATTACGTTTAAAGACACAAGGTGAAATCTCTTTCTTATTTAACAAACTATGAGACGGTCAACGAAGAGCTTCAAGTTTTATTTTCTGTTCAGTCAGAAGGCTTAGCACAGCTCTGTGTCTGGCCGTCTTCACCTGGCTCACCGAGTGTTCAAGTAAAACTGGCAGTTGCTTCGCAGCCAGGAGACGACTCAGGCCAGATCCAGTCCGTGGAAATCCTGCCTGAGTCGGCAGAGCCAGGAAACGGCGCTGCCAGCAGGCGGCTAAGCTGCTGGCTGATCTACATTTGCAGTGCATTGTGGGAAGGTTCAGACAATTAGGGACCGATTTGACACATAAATAGACACCAAAGTGATAACTGACGGGAGTCCAGATGGGGATAGTGCAACGTCTCACACCTCCAGACAGTTAAAGAAATGAAGTGTTACTCGCCCCCACTCTGTCAACTCCACAAAACGAGATTAGCAAGCAGGAGCCTCGTGTACGTGTGAGCCACTAGTCGTTCTTCTTCCGAAAAAACGATTTCCCCTCTGAAACTCTGTCTTTGGTTTCCTGCAGCTTCTCAGAAAGCTTGTCTTTAGTCTCTTCCATTTTCTCAGAGATGAGTCCTTTTGTTTCCTCCATCTTTTCTGTGAATCTCTCCTTGGTCGCCTCCATCTTGTCCTGGATGTAGTCTGTGACGGGCGGTGGTGTGGAGAGGTAGCCCTGTTTGCGGAGGTACTGAACAGACAGTGAGGTTCCGCCTAGCGTCACTGCGTATCTAGCCGGGGTTGCAATCTGTAGAGGAAACAAAGGAGAACACTTTAACCTGATCCCATCAGAGAGCCATACTTGGATCATTCTTAGACCGGTCTGTTGCCCAAACCGCAGTATTGACGCTACCTTGAACATGGCGTAGGCGGTCAGTGCATAGCCACTAGAGGAATTCCTCAAAAGGCCAACTATGGATTCTGGGAAACCAATCATCTCTAGGAACGGCACTACATTCACACCTCTGTGGAGTTCAAGCAACAGAAAACTATTAGAAGATGTCAAAAACATTACACTTCCTGTTCAGTCAGAAAACTTCTCATTAAGTTTCAACCAGAGGTTGATTTCTATGTTAGAAGTCTTAAATGCTACTCACTTCATAGCAGCGTAATAGAAGGTTCCAAACCAGACGGAGGACGTTGCTATGTGAACTGGGATCATCACCTTCCCGTACTGTTTCAACATCTTCTTAAACCTCTGGACCAGACCGATGGACTTGTCCTGCAGCGGGTCAACGTCCGCCTTCTCCGGCTGCCCTTTGGGGCCGTCCTGCGAAGGCGGGTCAGATGCAGGTTGTGCTGATTGTTTCTGTGGGGATTGGTGCTTTGGCTGATGTGCTGCTCTGCTGGAGGTGGATGCTGACACCCATCTCTGGGTGGCGGGCTGCAGCAGCGACAGACGGAGCACGCAGAACCTGGACGCCGTCGCCGCCGGATGCTCGAGGACGGCTGTGCCTGCCGCCAGCGAGCGCCACGCCACCACCCGCCACAGGGTCCCATGGGTAAGGATGTGCTGCATCATCATCATCCTCCGCCTCCTCTCCTAATCCTTCTCCGTCCTGGTGGTCAACCACAGTCTGTAGGGGAACAAATTAAACAAGACATGAAAGCTAAACTTTCATGTCTTCCCTCCACTAACCAAACCCAGGCCTGATCTGTACAAACAAGAAATCACTTAGAGAATCTTCCTCTCAACATGAAGTAGGTCAAAAGGATTCAAAAAGCAACACCTTAATCTAAAAAAAAAAAGAAGTGACAGCCTCCAGTGTGGTGTTCAGGATTCACTGCTGGCTAATGCTAACAGCTGGCAGTCATTACTTTCTAGGAAGCAGCATGTAGAGAAATTCCTGGCCTTAACAATACTGTGCATTATGGAGGTCTACCATGTTACCATGGTCACACTGAGCTAATCTCTGACACGGAGCTGCAGGAAAACTCCCAACAGATTTTACAACAGTTTATACATCCTAAGTGACCTTTGACTCTCATATGAAAACATATCAGTAAATGTCTGCTGAATGAGGAAACACATGACCCATATAATCATTCCATAATCGTTCCTAAAGCCAGTTCCTTATTTTGGAACAAGGGATGAGTGTTTCAGTTAGCTGAGTGGGTCAGTCAGTGTTTGGGATCTGACCAGGCTCATCAAGCCGCCCTTCTCCTCCTTTATCCACATTTTCAGCTCATATTGTGTTAACTGCCTCTCTAAAGTACACAGTCAGAGTTTCTGTTTGTCTTTCACTCTGGTAACTGTAACATTCCTGCTTTAGGCCTCTGGCTCCTGATCCTGACATGCCAGCTCCTTGCTGGGTGCCTGGCCGGATTTAGGAGAGTCAAAAAAAGAAAAAAAAAGTAGCAGGTGCTTTATCTCCAAGGACCTCCATCAGGTATTCAGCCAAAGAAGCTCCAAAAGCAGAGATGTTTGCTGTTGTGTGTTCACATAGTTCATCAGCAATGACCTTACAGAAAGCAATTGTTGCTGTCCAACAATCTGTGACTATTCTAAGGGATTTAATAGTTTTTTTTTCAAGTCCATCACAGCTGACGGAAATGTGTCAGCATTTCATCCCAAGGTGATGCTTGGGATCCCAACCTTGGATGTTTTGCAGCTGAAAGAATTTTTGCTTTCGATTTTTTATTTTTACTTTCAGGTAGTTGTTAGATGCGTAACCACAGCAAAAATGTATTTTTGTTTTCTACGATTAAGAGCAGGTGATTAGCATCTCCAAAGTTTGAATAATACCTGAACTTTGATCCCAGAGTTAAAAAGGAGGCTTCATGGATGGAGAGAGGAATTTGGAACCGTCTCTTCCATCCATCATAACAGACCAGGATTACATCCCCTACTCCAACCTCTCTCTGCCCAGCTTTCTAAAGATACAGCTTGATCAAAGAGAGGTAGCAAAAGCAAAGAAGCTGGATTAGCGATGCGCCATGGTTGCCACCAACCATGGCGTCATCCAGGACACATTACTGAGTAATATTGACTCTATTGAGCTGTTAGCATGTTGTTATAGTCATGAGATCATAATACAGCAACAATCTTTAGTCAGAGGCCTCTTCATCCTGATCCTGGCCAAAGCATCAATATGCACGACTCTTTTTAACATACTTTGATGAAATAAGCTATGGGAACATTTAACTTCTGTTTTAATTGAATTGAAATTATACCTGTAGCTAAATATCTAGAGACCCCAGTTAACATTCATGACAGTAATATTAGAGACTAAAGTAGATATGACTGGCCATAATGTACAACACTAAAATTAGTCATATAATTAGCTGTCCCTGTGACTAATCTTGCAGCTACAGAAACCTGGAGCCCTTAGAAGCATTGGGCGGACATGAGGTTTCCTGTCTGGCAGCTGTAGCTTGATCCGGATTGGGTCATGCAGCAATGAGGAAAAGTTTCCTCATTGCAGAAATGTTCAACAAACAGTAATGATTAAGTCGTTTCCACACCCAGGTTTGCCATGAATTACATGTTGTTAGACACGTCAGAGGTCAAACTTAAATGATTTTGGAGCCTGGAAGAGACTAGGTAATTTGTTTCTAAACTAACTTAAAAAGAAGGGGAAAAATCCAAGACTTTAAGACAGGTTTACTATTAGTGACAAAACTTTTAGCAGCTAAAAATACCACTTGTCTGAAGTCATTACGACTTTATTTTCCTTTAAAATAAAGTCATTTTGTGACGCATATCTGCTGGGGTTAATTTAAGCAATAATCAGAAGATTAAAGCTTCAGTAAAGCTCTTGTTTACAGAGTCATGCTAAGCTAGCTGACATTGGGCAGGTAGTGCTGGAGGACAAGAACCACTGTTCAAGTTCCTTCTGTTGAAAGGAGCTTATCCCCGGGTTATGAACCACAGGAGGCTTTATCACTGTAAAGAAAACTGAATACCCCGGCTAAAAATGTCACAGACACCGGGGTCAGAAGCACCACAGTCTGAACAGCTGCCAACTTTGCTACTGATGTTAGCTAGTTAGCTTTCAGCTAGCGGCACTGCTAAAGCTAGCTATCAGTAAAATAAGCTGTGACTGGCTGAGCCAGACACTCTGCAGCGAGCAAAATGCAGCGCTGAACTTACGCGCTGTTGGAGTCAGAGTTCAGCAACACGGCGGAGTCCTCACGGCCATTCAACACTCGCAAATGTTTCAGGACCACATTGACAACTGGACAGTATGGACTCCAAGGAGAGCAGCATGTCCTGGAGCAGCCCACCCCCAGCCGCGCATGGAGTCAAGGGAAATGTAGTTAATTATGGCGCCGAATGTCAGTAGCGACTGGCGGTTGGAAAATACAAGTCCCAGCGTGACTTGCGTAAATACGTCTTTCTTTTCGAGGGCAGGGTTTGGCTCACGTGGCTTGTTTATCGCTGACCGTACCAATGGGTCCGCACCATTTCTCACCTGGAGAGAAAAGTTCAGACCCACCAGCGAGAGGCGCGACCAAGTTGTGAGTCCCTTCAAAGATTAAAAAAATGTGTGGTTTTATCGTTTTGCTTGTTTGTTTTTAAATAGTGATAAGAAAGTCAGGATTAGGAGCAATACAACAAATTCATATCAGTTTATCAGAAAGCACGTAAACCAAAAATAGTGTATCTTTTATTATTGCTAATCTACTTCTTTAGTCATTAGTGGTGCGATTCCTTTCACAGGTCATGAACTACTCCACATGTCAAACTCCAGTCCTCAAGCGCCGCGGTCCTGCAGTTTTTAGATGTGCCCCAGGTACAAAACACTGGAATGAAATGGCTTAATTATCTCTTCCTTGTGTAGATCAGATCTCCACAGCCTTGCTAATGACCTAATTATTCTATTCAGATGTGGTGCAGCAGAGGTACATCTAAAAGCTGCAGGACGTCGGCCCTCGAGGACTGGAGTTTGACACAGATCTGTCCATTCAGAAGGAAATCGCCTCCCACACCACATCGCCATCACTTCTGTCCGAGTTGTCCGCCTGGTGACTAAAAAGGAGCGAACCCAGGGCTCCACAGTCGGTTTAGCTGCCATGAGTTCCAGACGTGGTTCCGTTCTAGATATTGCGTATACAGTAGTTCAATCTGCCAGTCTCCGAAATAACCTCCAGATATAGCGCACGTTTTATTATCCAGTTTGATGTTTACAGATATAAACACACAAACTCATGCAATGTACCAGATTGTCCAGGAGAGGGCGGCACACATTCAGTGTCCAACCGTCCACAAAAGAAGAACTACATACTTCGTTATGTAGTTTTTAGATCCAGATTAAGAATAAAATGTAAATTCAAAATGTAATTCCATGTTATAGTAATAAATTTCTGTTTGATACTTTACCTGCAGGCAGCTCAGGGTAGACTTTAACTTTTGACCTACAATCAGAGTAGGCTATGCTTTCTTTCATACATGAACTTTTGTTCTGTGATTTTTTTTGGGGGGGGCAGTCTGCTTTCCAATCCCAGTTTATTTCTTAATCAAACCTATGGTCAATACTTAAGTATTTGTATGGTTTGTAGACAGAGCTAATGAGAAAAAACTGGAGGATGCAGAGCTCTTGAAGTCGAGGTGATGAGGATGTTAGATCAGGACTCGGTGTATCAGAACGGCAGCTCATGTAAAATGCTTGAGAAATAAAGCAAACTGATGAAAAAGGTAAACCGTAAATCTTCAGCCTTTGCACTGAAGTGGCTTCTCTTTAGAAAGAAAGCAGCAAGAGTATGACAGAGTATTTCAAAACAGGCAAAGATGATTATTGCAGCCCTGAAAAAAGAGACACTCAGTGATGAATTGCTTGTGCTACTGGTTTCAAAAGGCGTACCAGAAACATCGAAAGCTTTTTCAGCTCATGTAACATAAAGCGAATCAGAAAGAAAGTTTACTGAATTGAAAACAGAACTTCAGAGTTTCAAGGATACTGTGTGATGGAACAAGAAGACATTGATGATAAATTGTTAACCGACATAGACGAGCACTACAGATCCATGTGCAGTGTTCCTTCAGCACTCAGTGAAGCTGAAGACACACTCTGAACGCTGAAGAGTGAACAAGAACTGCAGTGTTTAAAAGAGAATGACACTTTCATGCTAAGCAGCCTGCTTGAGGAAAATAAAAGTAAAGTAGTGTGGGGTAAGTGGGTGTATGCAATGTAAAATATTGGTGAGCTGAGCTGCAGATGGAATGAAAAAAACTGAACTCAAAACTAAACCAAACACTTTGTTTACATGATTGGTCCTGCTGAGCTGCCCTCAGCTGTTGGTCATGTGACTTACCCAGACAGGATTAAATATATCTTGTTTTCCTTTTTGTCTCACTTACTTTTTTTCAGGTTAATCAGATTTTTGACAAAAATAGACTGAATGATTACATTGTATCGTTTTCCAACGTTATTTTCTTGTGTTAAGAGAAATAAGCTGTTCAAACTGAGCGGAGCCTCCCTTCGTCCCATCGGCACAGACGGAATTTGGCTTGATAAATATTTTTTTTGTAGCTTTTCACAGTCAAGCACACACAGTAAGACTGGAGAACTCCAGTTGAAAAAACAATACACTAGAGCACTTAGCCGTTCCCTGTTTTTTTTTTTTTTTGACATATGTTCAGCCAAAATTCAGAACCATTCCATATGGCCTTTATATAATTCTGGTCTTAAGGGGGCTAATCATGAGTACTGACCTTTACTGAAGCAGCACTGAAGAGTTTGTTCTTTCGTGACTTTGGGGATGAGCTGGTGATGTTCTCTTGGAGTCCTTTTTTGGTCCCTCTTAGGAGGATTCACCAAGACAAGTCAAGAGTCATGTTCCCTGTTTTCCCCAGTTATAGTTTGTGGGTCTCATGGTTCTGGAGTCCAGGAAAGCTTATACAATGGCATCGTAACGCTTTGTTTGTCTGTTCTTGACTTCATATAGACCAGAATATTTTTGCTTACAGATTTCACTTTTTTTAACAATTTTTTTTAATGTACTTCATGTTGTCAAACAGTTCTATTTAGCGATTTCTTAATTCTTTAGTGTTCAGGTCAGGTATGACTAGTAAGACTGAAAAAAACAAAGAAAACTAAGAGATAATATGACTAAACACTAAATGCTGCCAGCCTCGAGGCACCTCAGTAAACAATCTTACCACATTCCTGCTGAACTTCTTTTATTGTCGGTTTTCTTTCATGAGTTTATTGATAGACTGTCTGAACAATGAAGAACTGAACTTGGCTGGACTAGTCAAGAAATAAAAGAAAAACCCAAAGCAGTCACTGTGTGGTACAAAGCAGGACCAAACCCTGATCCAGAAACAGTTTGGACCATGACAAGATGAAAGCTGACGGCTCAGTTCTTTGATCACCAACCACATTAAACACTAAGTTTCCTTTTCTGAAGAGGAGCTACTGATTAGAAAGAATCCTCGATCTGAGGACCTGTGTGTGTGTGTGTGTGTCACTCTCACTACAGAGCTTTTTTCATACTGTCAGCAAACTGTTTCTATGCTGATGTTTCAAATTCAGCCTATTATTTTATTATTATTACTCTCACTATTGTTGATGATTGCATTTTTATTTATTCTTTTGTTTCTGAATTTATCATCAATAATAATTTTCCAGAAAAAAAAAGCCATGGGAATAACTTTTTTTTTTTACAGGCGTCTACAAAAATTGCAACTTAAAATTGAGAATCGGAGTGGAAAAGCGTATTCTTGTTCTGCGCCATTTTCTAGTTTTAAATCTTGCACAAATGACCAGATGAAAGACGTACAACAATGCCAGTTTGAACTTTGAACTATTTGCAAAAGACTGTGCTGTGCAACATTCAAAATGGATAGAACTGTAACCATATCAATCATATCTCTTCTTCTCTTCAGTATTTCGATCAGTTTCTGGTGCTGCAGCTCTGTGCTGCCTTCAGGAGAGTGGGACATCAGAGAATCATCCATAAAATGTCACCCATATGGTATTTACTGTGCAAACCAGAACTTTCAGTGGAAAAACAAACATTCCAGATCCTTTTAATGCCATACAAATATGGGACAGAAACATGGATGATATTTTTCAATAGACCTGTTCAATTTCCTGAGGGAGTCTTCCCAAGGAATCAATAAAGTACAAGAAATTACAAAGCACAAAGCTGGTTCATAATCAATCGAATCAAATCCTAATGAATCAAACTGAAAGTATCACAGAGTCATTTAACAGCATCATGACATAAATACTGACATGAAAAATAATATTGAAGAAATAAATATGAAAAATAAAATCTAATTAAAAACATAAATACATGATACATTCTTTATTACTGTTATTGTCTGTAAAATATATTTCTTCTTAGTACTAGAGGTGTTATCAACAAATATATTAATATTATCTTACCTTTCATCTGAAATGACTTCAAAGACAGAATTCTTTTTTTCTTTTTGGTGGCCCTAATTCTGTTCCGTACATTTATTTTGATTATTTTAATTGTTCAGTTTTAATGGAATTGCACCCAATGGCACAAAACAAACAAACAAAAAACTAGATGAAGACAGCAGCTGTGACCATCTCTTTACAATACAGTGACCTGCAGAGAATGACTGGGATGTCCACTGGTGTTGCTGCTGGTATATGTTGCTTCTGGCTTAAAAAGAAATAAAAAAAAACAAAGGCTCTCAGAGCTGCTGGGTAATTACCATCAAATTGAATTTTACAAGGCTGACGTTACTTGTTTAGAAAATGGAAATCATTCTTTGTGTGGCCTCTGTTTTCCTCTGTCCTGTTTGGTTTCAGTGTTTTCTTTTGATCTTTTTCTAAATTAGCCATAAGTTCCCTTGGTGCAGAAGGTGTTTCTAACGAGCAGCTCTGGCAGGCAGCCTGTGGACCTGCAGCATGTTCCCAGAGACATCAACGGCTCAGGAAGCAATAAACACCATCAGCAACGGAGATGGCCGAGCATAAAACCCGCCAAGCCGATTTCACACGACTACAGCTTTGAAGCTGCGCTTTTTAGTAGAAATGTCGTGTGTCACGGTTATTCAGTCACACAACTGGGCTCAAACCACACACACACACACACACACACACACACCACACACACACACACACACACACACACACACACACACACACACACACACACCCACACACACACACACACACACACACACACACACACACACACACACACACACACACACACACACACATACACACACACACACACACACACACACGCCTGTCACCTAAAACAGCAGCTTTCCTTTCACATTCACCATTTCCTCTGAAGTGCTTCCATTCTCAAACGATTGTTTGCAGATATATGATTTTGGAATTGCAGCATGTTCTTAGTGCGGTGCATAAGAATACG